TACTTATATAATAATCTTAGTAAAGGATCACTAGCAAGGTTGCCAAAGATTAAAAAAAAAAAAAAAAAAAAAAGCTTTCAAATGCTGTGGCATTTCCAACTCATGAGATAATAAAGAAGATAGTTTAATTTTTAATTATAACTAACTTGGTTAATATATAAATTTATGCAATTATATATATATACAAGATGACTTGAAAAGCTTAAATACAAATAATGCTAAAGGTTCAAATATTAATATTGATAAAAGTTTAAATGCAAATGTTGGTAAAAGTTTAAATACTAATATTGGTACAGATTTAAATACAAATATTTTTTAGTTTGAATTTATATAATATTAATTATTTACAAGTTTAATTAATTTATAAAAATTATTAATCTTGTTAATAATAATTCTGATTTTAAAAATAAAGCCAATCTTAATTGTAAAGATAAAACCAATCCTATTTGTGAAGATAAAGCCAATTCTATTCATAAAGATGAAACCAATTCTATCTGTAAGAATAAAACCAATTCTATCTATAAGAATAAAGACAATTCTATCAGTAAGAATGAAACCAATCCTATTTGTAAGAATGAAATCAATCTTATCTATAAGAATAAAGCCAATTCTATCTATAAGAATAAAATAAATTATTATAGAATAGAAAAAATTAATTATATTAATAAATGAGTATACTATAGCAAATAGATAAAACTAATTTTTAGCCAAATAAAAAGATAAATATTTATATATATAACAGCTTTTTTTGTGATATATAATATAATTTGAATTAATTTTTATTAAGTATATAGATACTCAGGCTTTTTACCAATATATAACCTATTGAAGAAGCAATTGTACTAAATATTATATTTATATTAAGAACCAAAAAAACAATATATTAGAAATAGAAAATATAGTTAAAGCAAAAAAAAATAAAGAATCGATTATCAAAATACAAATTTTCATAAAAACAAATTAATAGATAATTCATCTATCATCTGGAGAGGATCTGCAAATTTTATAAGTAAATTTTACTATTAAGCTAAATATAAAGAAATTTCTTCTAAAACTTTTTTTTTACTAAGTAAATCACTCTTAGGCTTCTAACAAAAATTGTAGAGCTCATCAAGATGCATCTAATGGTTCTTGAGAAATCTTTAAAAAATATTTCACTAATATATAAAATTTCTTGATTTTTTTAAAGAAATTTTATATATTGGCGAAACATTTTTTAAAGATTTCTCAAGAACCACTAGACTGATTTTAGCATTCTCACCACTATTAGATGCATCTTGATAAACTCTACAACTTTTTTTTTTTTTTTTAATATCAAGATGAGGTCATGCCTCTAGTTTTTATTAATATATACTTTATCGCTCAATTACAATTACATATATATTAATTTTTATGAACTACAGAGACTTAGACTATTTTATCTATGACCTAAACCTATTAGAATGTTCCATGCCCCACACATGTCTCATCTAGATTTCTCTACAACTTTTGTTAGAAGCCCAAAAGTAATTTACTTAGTAAGAAAAAAGTTTTCTTTACATTTCTTTAAAAAAATCTCCACATTTACTATTTGAAGATTTTATAT